CACTTTTTTTGAATATCCCAAAAATGTAGAGTTATAAAGCAATGTAGTTATAAGCGATTATTGAAATTTTCCTATAGAGTAAAAATCTGCCGAAGCCGGAAAATTGTTACTATTTCTATTATCAGGTGCGCCGGTGTTTGCTGAAGAACCTAAAAATCCATTCCTTGCTGTGGAAGGTGACAATGTTACGCTGGAATGGAGGTACTCATTTGGCAAAGGCAATTCACTCTCTCAGATGTTATTTGAAAAAGAGAAGCAGATTGTAGACAAATATTCCCCTTTTCTCCCACCATGGATAAAACCATCTTACCGCGGTCACATACTCGTGAACATTACAAATGATTACACATCAATCATTCTCCTCGGAGCGAAAAGAACGGACGAGGGAAGCTATATGTTGACACTTGTCTCCAGTAAAGACCGAGAAAGAACTATAAGTAAATTGGAGATTTCGATATTGTGTAAGTACAAGGTTATTTGAAGATCCCGCGTTCTCAATCCCTTTAATACCAGAAAAGAGCCTGAAGGGAGAAAAATTCTCTTGGTTTTGTAACGCTGTAGGAAAACCAGAACCAAATATATCACGGATGTTTAACGGGTTTCATATCAATAGGAATTACAAAAAAACTACCATGTTTCTTGTAAATACCTATTTCAATGGCTGATCTTTTATTGAGCACTTCCTAAATCAATGGATTCCTCATTAGTAATTTCAATGCGACTCTCAGTTCTATTTCTTAATAATAAATCTCGGAGAGTGTTTAAGAATTGTTCAGTCCGTCCATTGCCTGGAGCAGATGGCAAGGTATAATAGACGTCCTTCAGGGAACAAGGAATAGGAAGACGTGTGAATTTAATAACTCATACCAACATGAGGAGTCCATAAGCAATATCATATTTGAGAGGCCTGAAGCTCTTGATACTGAAATGGGTAGTCAGCTGTGGTCTTTTCTCAAAAACTTTTTCGTAATTATTTCATTACAAATTGTACCAGATTGATTTCCTTTTTTTCTTTACCTTGTCCAATACTTACCTGCTGTGAAATTCATGGGCCGTCGACTGGTGACCATTTTTTGTCAAAAAGTTAAATATACGTCGACATCAACAAGCTACAAAGCAGCAATTACATCCTGCATGTTCGAATTATTTATTAACTCTAACGTCGGCGTTATTTACCTCTCAGTTAAACCAAAAGTTACAATTGATGGCGATCAGGAGCAGTATGTGGCCGAAGGCAGTAATGTTCGGCTGATATGTCGGTATGACGCGTCACCACCAGTGTCTGAAGTGCAGTGGATAAAAGACGGAACTGTGATTGCTGGAAATACTTCAAGGCTTATTAATGATTCAAGAGTGGCAATTCCATCTTTCAATGGGAGTCAAATACAGTTGTCAATCACTGCAGCTTCGCGAGAGGATGGGGGAAATTACACCTGTAGTGTCACGAATATTTTAAACAGCACTCAGGACACGACACTGATCACAATTGAAGGTATATGATAAGGAGTTACACTAGTCAATTAGTTTTCCTTCAATAACGTTCACTAATCACTCACTGGTCTCAATCACTTCATCGACTTTGAAACCATGGTGTAAGAATACAATTGTACCTCTCCAACTGACAAGGTCGTTTCCTCCAGTAACACGTTTACAACAAGATCGTCCGTAACAAACTGCTCAACAATTACTGTCACCTTCCAACCACTAAACTTAGTACTCTGTATATATGTATGTATAACCTTTATAACATTTAAAATCTTCCTTTTTGAGTACTCGAATACGATTACGAAATGCACGCGAAAATTAATTTAGTCTGAGAACAAACTCTCCTCTGAATGGGCGCAACAAGGTGGTCGGGAATATACTTTAAAACTGTAAATACTTTGGACGTGCGCACATCTTAAATGAGAGCTATTAGTAATAACCACTAGAGATTTCTCCTTGTAAAACACGCTCGATAACTCCATTGTATCACCATCATCTTGCAAAAAGTCTACTGAACGCTTGTTCCACATACGTAACAATGTTTGTTCAAGATTATGTATAGTACATCCAATATTACATACTTAAGTAACGAGAGCATTATGTAACGACATCTTTATCCAAGGTCTAAGTCTAAGGTGGAAAACTTTCATTATCATCTGGATGTCATCGTGAATCAATCTCAGTTCTCTTGCGGTTTTAATCAATATACATCGCAGACGAAGTGAGTAATCGAAAGACTTGTTATGAGGCCTTTCTCTGCCGCTTTTTTCACTCCAAGTTAGCAGAATAGCATTTGCATTCTGCCTAAAGCGTATAGATAAACCGTCGAAGATATAAAGAAAAAGCATTTATTCTAGTTTCTGCGGAATTGCGTAGGTAAACAAAATAATTGACAGTTCAATCTCTGACAGGAATGTATGTCTGAGAAATTACTAGGAGTTTTCAATGGCGGTTTCTTCTTGCCGATCATGATTGAGACTGCTTACGTGACGGGGAAGATGAGACAACAATTACAAATCATCTTCCTAAAGTGGTCGAGTTCTCGTTTAAATGCAGCATAATTTTCACGTAATGTGCTACAACGCTCCAAAAATGAAAGGAAATGAATGAGAAAAAGTACAATAAAACGAAAAGCGTTCGTCTCTAACGAGTAATGTCAGAATAACACTCGTATATAACATTCTTCTACTAATACGTCTGGACGGAGAATCTACAATATTGTTTCCTATCAAAAATCCTACAAACTTCTGAGCATGCTGTGTGGCTCTTTCTTACTAAAAAAAGACAGCCATTTCTTCCCTCTTTAGTCTCTACCAAAAATTTATGCATTATGTTAACTCTGTTCAATTGTTATTTCCATGTTGCTGTGTGTCTGTTCTGTAATAGATCATAGATGACGTCAAAATGTGGTGAGAAAAAAAATGGTTTCGAACGAGACGCTGGAAAGTGTGTCTTTGATGCTCTTATCTCATTATCTTATCTCGACGACTGGATTTTCATTTAGATATTTACTGAAAACCTGTCGACACAAGATAAAAAACCACTTTCGAAATGAATGAACACTCGGTATTTCGTTTGCTGCCTGCGATTTCAGCTTTCGTTTGATAGTTATTGCCAAGTTTAAGCGTGTTAAGCTCTTTCCTTAAATTTCAACGAGGATTTCTTGAAAGCTTTTTTTTTTTCTTGAATTGCCTTTATTGACTTTTAACTTACATACAATAGAGCAATACTAACACCATGTAAAAACACTATCAGTCATTACGATACTAACAATGTACACGTTACTTACAATACAACCCCTATTTCTATTTATACTTATCAATACTCACGTTTAAGACTACTTACAAAAGGATTTTTCTCTTAAACTAGCTTACAATAAAAATTAATTGATGCTTACCCTATAGCTACTTGCATTACGAATTTTAAATCAATAATTAGTTTACTCTACATACTAAACAATAATTACTTACACCAAGTGAGGCTACTACAATTTATGAGAGGAAGACTACAACACAACACAGACACAATGCAGATACTTCAGTTATATTTTAGAACTTAAGTTTGTTAACAAAAAAAGAAAAAAAAAGTAGTGCAGACTTTGAATGAGCCAACTATATATTCTCTCCGTGTGGTATCAAAAAGAAGTAAATAAATAATTAAAAATGGATAGATAAATAAATGAATAATAAAACAAAACAGATAAATACGAAAAATATTATGATAATTGTTCTCATCTTTTCCTAAAGTCTTGAAGTTTCTTATTTCTTGAGGCAATGAGCCTTTCAGTCTCTTGTTTAGCTTCTATGCTTCTATTCTGTGTAGAAACATTAAACTTTGGGACTGATTTGTATCTTCTACTATCCCATATACATAGATTATCAGGCAGTTTAATATATCTTTTCTGTTTAAAATGTCAACCCTAACATCTCTGAGTTATAAGCTTCGATTTCACCCAGAAGATTAGATCACTAATTGCAAAGGAGAAGTCAGAAAAAATATGGTATGGGTCTTCTTTGTAAATTGTGCAAAAGGAACACTTCTCTGAGTCAATTAACCCAATTTTGAATAATTTGGTATTCGTAAACAGAATGTTATTTAATTATTGAAACTGAAAAGACCAGATATAAGTTTCACTAGCAACGTTGTAGGGGGTCGAAAAACTTCCTGCAACGTGTTTGAAAGCTCCAAGTCGGCTGATAAAGTAATGATTCCTTGAAAGCTTTGATTTAAGCAGGGGCAATAAAGTTTGTAAACCACTCAGCTGCGCCTTGTGGTCTACAAAATTTTTCGTGTTCTTCCAACATCCTCAGTTTTTTTAGCCAGTAAACCGATAGAAAGTGAGGTTTATAGCATATTTATATAATAAAGAAGGCCCAGTTTTGGTGATAGTCACGTCATCTGTGCGACTGTTTTCCAATAAATTATATATTGAGGGACCAATAAAATTGCATACAACTGTAAAGCTTGTCATCAAATCATCCTACCGCAACATGTGATCTACATATATTTGTTTTGTACTTCAGTAAATAAGCAAAAGCTGTTAATGTCATCATTGCGTCTGTCCTCCAATTGATTATAAGTAAGAATCTATAAAAATGAGTACATAATCAGCTTCTTATATAAATTAAAATAATAATTAATAACACTGTTAATGCATCTTTGTTTTGTTTTGTTTATTTTCTTTCACTTTTCTTGGATATCCCAAGAATGTAAAGTTATAAAGCGATGAGGTTAAAAGTTATTATTGAAGTTTTACTCTAAGGTAAAAATCTGCCGAAGCCGGAAAGTTTTTACTGTTTGTATTATCAGGTGTGCTGGAGTTTACTGAAGAACCTAAAAGTCCACTCCTTGCTGTGGAAGGTGACAATGTTGCGCTGGAATGGAGGTACTCATTTGGCAAAGACGATTCACTCTCTCAGGTGTTATTTGAAAAAGAGAAGCAGATTGTGGACAAATATTCCCCTTTACGCCCACCATGGATAAAATCATCTCACCGAGGTCGCATACTCGTGAACATAACAAATGATTACACATCAATCATTCTCTTCGGAGCGAAAAGAACGGACGAGGGAAACTACAAGTTGACACTTGTCTCCAGTAAAGACCGAGAAAGAACTGAAAGTAAATTGGAGATTTCGATATTGTGTAAGTACAAAGAACTTATCAAAAACAATGACATAGACACACGAGGAATAATGTCAATAGTCAGTAATTTTGTCATTTAGATACTTAAATATGAAAAATTAAATCCCACAAATTAAATTGAGCATTGAGTAAATGCTCAATGGTTATTTCTACCGTCGATCGCTCTCAATCCCTAAAATACCACAAAAGAAAAGGGAGAAAAAATTCACTTGGTTTCTATAGAGTGGTCATATCTCTGCTCTTCCATTCTTGAAAATTGGATGAAATGGTCGTATATAATAACCAGAGGCACAATTTCCCTTTGAATGCACTCTCCTGATACCGAAATGGGTAGTGCAGCTTTGGTCTCTTCTCGATTTTTTTCCCTATTTATTTCATTACAAATTGCACAAGACTGATTTCATTTTTTTGTAGTTCTTGTCCAATACTTGCCTGTTGTGAAATTCATAGGCCGTCGATTAGTGATCATTTGTTTGTCAAAAAAGGTTAAATGTACGACGACATCAACAGAGCTACAAAGTAGCAATTGCATACTGCATGTTCGAATTGTTTATTAGCTCTAACGCCGACGTTATTTATCTTTCAGTTAAACCAGAAGTTACAATTGATGGCGATCAGGAGCAATATGTGGCCAAAGGCAGCAATATCCGGCTGATATGTCGGTTTGACGCGTCGCCACCGGTGTCTGAAGTGCAATGGATAAAAGATGGAACTGTGATTGCTGGAAATAGTTCAAAGCTGATAAGTGATTCAAGAGTGGCAATTCTATCTTTCAATGGGAGTCAAATACAGTTGTTAATCACTGCAGCTTCGCGAAAGGATGGGGGAAACTACACCTGTAGTGTCACGAATATTTTAAACAGCACTCGGGAGACGACACAGATCACAATTGAAGGTATATGATAAGGAGTTAAACTAGTCAATTAGTGGAGATTAGTTCCTTCAGTAACGTTTATTAATCACTCATTGGGGGCAATAACATCACTATTTAGATTCTGAGACTATAAGGTTAGAATACACTTGTACCACTCGAACCTACGAGGATGTTTTCTCCAGTTACGCGTTCGCAACAATTACTTTCACCTTCTACCTTTCTTGTGGATTGTAAGATTACCACACGAATTTATAAAAAGACGTTGTGTAGATATTGTACAATTCCTGCACCAAAACACAATATCTAACCGACAGACAGCCCTCCAAATTCGTTTTTTTTCTTATTTTGGACAGAGTAACACGTATGTGTATATTTAACAAATAGATTCCAAGTTGCCGTGCGTCTGTTCAGTAATAGATCACAGACGACGTCAAAATGTGGTAAGAGCCAAAAAGTGGCACACGAGGCGCAGCCGAGTGTGTCAAGAATTAAAATATACGGAAAAAAAGTTTTAATGATGACGTCATCTATATATACATAAGTGAGAACCAATCAGAATGCGTGCATAACTGAGCTTAATATATATATATATATATATATATATATATATATATATATATATAAGTGAAAGAATTAAAGAGGACGCATCGAAAAAAAAGTTCTGTCTGACGAGTGCTTAGGCGCGAGACTCAGAGTAACAGAGAATCGATGCGTCCTCTTTGATTCTTTCACTTATATATACTCAGCTCTGCTACCACAGCATTGAGCACTTTATGCCAAGGCAGACTCTACCCCCTTATTTTTATTTATATATATATATATATATAGAGATAGATAGATAGATAGATAGATAGATAGATAGATAGATAGATATAGATATATGTTTTAATCATCAGCAGTAAATTTAACAACGACAAAGTGAGAACTGTCAGATACATTTGGAATACAATTGCTATTACATAAACACGAGATAATTTTTTTCCTTTTTTTAATCAAGCTTGCATAAATTCTGTATTTATCCACAGATAAACCTGAGATCATAACTCATCCTCACAGTATCACAACAGGAGAAGGTCAAAACCTGACTTTATATTGTAACGCTACTGGAAATCCACTTCCGACAATATCATGGTGTAAGGATGGATATCCTATAAGTAATGGCTTCAGGATAATTTTGTCACCAAGCCATGAACAGTTGAAAATAAGGAATGTGAACAGAATAGACCGGGGCGATTACAAATGTCTAGCGAAAAACAGAGTTGGAACGGATACTTCTAACGCTTCCACGATTAATGTTCAGTGTAAGTGACTTAAATTAGCTATTGTACATGAAAAGGCACTATCCAGACCTTTTGATGTGCCATAAATCCATCATGGAATGTCGAGTACTTACTGGCTCCCTCAAGCTCGGCCGAAAAATCTACTCTGATTAACCACGCTGTTTCAGCCAATCAGAGTGCGCGTCATATATATGCCTTATTGTAATTGGTTTTGCATCTTCAGCAATAATTATTTTTTTATTGGCCGTTCTTTCTTCTTCCTTTTGGATCAAACTATGCTTTCTTGGCATGGACGATATTCATGCCGGAATTTTACCTTCTGAGGGCGTCTTTTTCACTGGTTCTTCGTCCTGTCACTGTTAGTGTTTCATTTATTTACCGAAGGAGGTAGGTGACATTTTTAATTATTCGAAGACAGAATTTTAACCGATTTGGAAGCGGAAATCGACCTCGTTGACTTCTAGGGATACGAGGGATAGGCCCTGGCGGCGTATCGATTTTATTTGGTTAGGTCTCTGGATATTTACAATGTAAACAGATTGAATTCTCTTGAGTGCGAGAGAAGAATCTTGTTAAGCTGAATTTATTGAGATTTACTGTCTCAGTCCATTACCTTAAGCAAAATATTTCTATATTGTAATTTAACTCGAAACTTTCAATTCTTATGTGTATTTACCTCTATTAAATCTGCTAACCCGCTTAAATACAGTAAAGTTGATCGAATCCAGTGCTTTTAATTTCTTACCAAGGTAAGCTTCGTTTATATTACTAACATATGCTTCGAGAATTGCGCATTTTATACTCGCATTTTATACGAAATACTCATTTTGACCCGAAAGTACTCCAATGATTTTTAAACTAATTACTGATATGCTTACTCTTGATCTAGTTCATTTTTTTTCGAGGAGAAAATTGCCTCAATGGGAAGTGATTGGTTTCTGTATTTTGAAAATGTTAGTTGCTATCGTACGTTAGTGTTTACAGATAAACTTTGACATTTAGTAGCTGGGTTGTTTTTAAACGAGTTCGCAGCATGCATTGCATTCTAAATTGGAACCGTTTCATGTACACAGCACAAATGATGTGTAGTTGAACATGTTATTATCTGACGCTGTGCAGCCATTCTCCATAAAGAGCTTCCTTCAGCATCACTGTATTTCCCTGGACCGAAAGATTGAGGAATGATCAGTCAGTTGAGTGACAGCCTGTCCGTAGAGCAAAGATTACGCTGAAAAAGCAAACCGCGAGCCAAGTGGTCGCATAACGTGCTTTGTTATCATATTATATATATTTTTACGTGTTAGTCCTGTGCAAAGTAAAATTTTTCTGAAATTGCAGTTCGAGCTGAGATCGTCTCTTATCCTCAAGCGAATGTCACAAAAGAAGAGGGAAGTAATTTAGCTTTATTTTGTGACGCCAATGGAAACCCAGCACCGATAATACTATGGACCAAAGATGGATCTCTCATAAACAACAATTCCAGGATCAGGTTTTCAAAACATAACAGGCTGTTGACCATATTAAATGTAAACAGAACAGACAGCGGCCACTACCAATGTGTGGCGAACAACAGCCTTGGAAATGATACCTCAAACGTTGCTACTGTTGACATCCAATGTGAGTTCTCATCTTACTACTGTACCGATATGAATACTCTACTTTTTATGAATAGTGTATGAATAGGGTATGAATAGCGTTTTGATACTCGGCGTCAACTGAGAGCAGCTTTCATTTGTTTTTTCTCCAATTCACCTTTCGTTTTTTTGTTTCCGCTGTAGGCAACTCTTGTTACTATCATTGTCAAATAAACATAGGCTTTGAATAGCATTTGCTCCTACCCTCTAATTTTTCAGTACAATTATGTACAGTCAATACAATTATGTACAGCTAGCTGAAGTGAGACAAGGAGATTAATTGTAAAGTGCGTATACAGGTTTTTTCATAAGTTCGTGCCATTTTTTGAACTTTCCACAAGCCTTGTTTACATTTTTTCTATGAACATTTTCAGTATCCTGCATGTCCCCCTTTGCTGCTGAAGCTACGTTTCAGCTTTGCCATTTCTTGCAATATTATAGTCATATAAACTGTTCCCTTCAAAACCAGTAAGAGATTACCAACCGGGATTTTTCCTAAATAATGATTTATTTGTATTTTTAAGTTCATTAGTTTGGAAGAGGTAGGGATAGAAATTTGTACTAGCGAAACAGACACTTCAGTTTTCGCAAGCTTAAAAGGAGACCGAACGATAATCGAATTGTAAAACATTTAAGTAAACTGAGTTCAACTGAATGAAATTATTATTAAAAACAGAGGACTAAAAGACACATTTTCCCTTAAGTTTCAAGTCGTCAATAATATTTCTAAGGTGCTTAATTTGAAGTCGACAAAAATCGGTTTGAGCAGTTTCTTGGAAGCAAACAATTTAACCCTTGTTCAACAAACAGCTTTAATTTAAAACATGTTTCCGCTTTGGTTTGAATGAGGTGTAAGTGGGTTTTTTGAAAATTTTTAGATCGACCTGAGATAGCCACTCAACCGCAGAATGACACGATAACAGAAGGAGAAAATGTGACACTGACTTGTAATGCTACTGGAAATCCAGAGGCAGTGCTTTCATGGTTCAAAGATGAAAATCTCGTGAATAGCAGCAACAGGATCAGCTTTTCAGCAGACAGCAAGTTGTTGACGATAACGAATGTGAAAAGAACAGATAGCGGAAAATACCTGTGTTTCGCTCATAATGAAGTTGGGAACGCTACCTCGAAAATTGCCAAATTAAATGTTCAATGTAAGTGAGCACTATAAGTAGAATTCTTTACCGGCAGTAGAACTAAGACCAAACTTTAATATATTCTCCTATTTCTTTATAATAAGCGTACACGGATCTGCTTAAAGTGGGGATTTTTTTTATTAGAAAAGGTGAATACATTTCAGAATAATTAACCAAGTACCCTCTGTGTAGAGAAACTGAGTGAATGAGGAACTAGGATGAAATTCATATCCGTCTATCTACTTGGTTTCAGATGAACCGGAAATTATCACTGATCCCTCTAGTGACACGGTGAAGGAAGGACAAAACAGAACCTTTTCTTGTAACTCGACTGGAAATCCATTACCAGAAATATCATGGAAAAAAGATGGACATTCTATTGGCAATATTTCCAGGATCAGTTATTCAGCAGAGAGCAACGAGTTGAGGATAATAAATGTGTACAGAACAGACAGAGGAAAATACCATTGTGTGGCTAACAATAGCATTGGTAATGCCAGCTCAGAAGATGCTACATTAGTTGTAGAATGTAGGTATTAACAATAATAATAATAATAATTGTAGCGGCCGACACAAGCAAAGCAAATTTCAACGACAACTATGAGTTTCGCTAATGAAGACGCACTATGAAGCGAGGATATATTTTACGGAAAAGACTAGAATCGTTTTATTAGCGTAGTCGAGGTATCCAAGTATTTATCGTAAGCTGAAATATGAAATTATAAGGAAGAAGCTAAGCTAAATTCTAAGATACGGACCAACTTTCCAATCATTCCGATATAAAAGCAAGACCCAAAAGACTAGCTAAAACTCTAAAACAAACTCATAAAAGACTATCTTCAAGGATAGAGGAGAACCGCTTGAAAACAAATTCCAACAAAACTAATAACCGAGTGGGAAAAACAAGCAACGATCACGTCCCTAATGGACAAACAGTAACGTCATTATTGCGGCTTAACACTTTTAACACGAAACAAACTTAAAACAAATCAATATCTGGTAGCAAAGGCGTGGCAGCCGTTACAATAATAATAATAATAATAATAATAATAGTAATAATGGCTAGGTAGCGGTGAAGGACCTCAAGAAGATGCAGAGGGCACCGTCACACTGAACATTGCACGTACTTTTAAGATTGCGACACATTAGACATTATCTTACCCGTGCTTCGGTTTGTCTCCTGCTCTAGAACTTTGAACACTTAGCACATTTTAGCGTAAATTTGTTTAGTTTATTATATACATACATATACATATTTTAACCGTACTTTTTCATTGTACACTACCTTTTAATTCTAGTTTCACTAGCCGGAGCACAGGCCACGCCTTGGCGCCCTATGTTCCTTCCAACTGTATAGCATACAGATAGTTTTTACTGCTGCATAATAATAATAATAATAATATTTAATGAAGGAACCCAACTCGCCAAGGCGGTTTCCAGTGGGGCCCAGTAAAGTATTCATTGAATTCTTCTAGCTTATTCGGTAGAAAGTGAGCTCGAGAGTCTGGAAAAAACAGTCATTTTGGTCTCGCAGGTCATTTCAATTGGTTCAGCCGTGTCTGCTGTAAACATGAACGACCATTAAATTGTCGAATTCAAAAAGATATTGGCGCTTATAGCTAGTGTTGCTAATGTTCATTGCAACTGTTTTACAATTGTAGATAAAAGTGAGATTACCACCCATCCTAATAATGTGACAAAAACAGAGGGAGAAAGCGTTACGTTACACTGTAATGCTATTGGATATCCGCTCCCTACTCTATCATGGACCAAAGATGGATCTGACATCGGTAACAATTCCAGGATCAGCTTTTCGGCAGACAAAAAGCAGTTGGCAATCACCAAAGCGAGCCGAGTAGACAGCGGAGCATACCGATGTGTGGCGAACAACAGCCTTGGAATTGATACGTCTATGGCTGCTGTTTTAGATGTTCAGTGTAAGTTGAGTGGAACATTCATGAGGCAACGAGTTATTTGGATCATTAACTAGGGCTCGATAGTCATAAAAAAGGCCGTAATGTTTTGGTCCAAAACAAGGTGTACTGCAATCCTGCTTTCTTTTCTTTAACGGTTGGTTAAACAGAGGCTTTTAAGCTTCCCAGTTTAGATAAATTGAAAGTCGCCAGTTTTGTACTGTGGCTCGTTCTTGGGTTGCGAATTACGTCAAGCGACAAACAGGTCTGCTGCAGATGGTCAAATTATGTTTGACTCGACAAATTACAGACGAAAGGAAAAACAGAAACAAGTTGAGAAAAATTTGACACGAGAAAGAATTGGGGAGGAAAGTAGAGAAGCTTTGAAACCGCACTACTATGTAGCTATGGACACTTAAGTAAATGTTTTCAGCTTGCAATTGAATAATAACTTCTGTTTCGCGTTGAGAAAAACATGGAGTATGCTTCCGTTTTATAATTCTCATATCTGTGAAACTTACCAAATTGCACGATTTTCTAATTGTCACAGTTAAGTATGTTTTTTTTAGTTCAACCTGAAATCTCCATACATCCGAGGAATGTCACAATAGTAAGAGGAAATAATGTGACTTTTAGTTGTTCAGTCGTGGGGAACCCAACACCCAGTGTTGTTTGGACAAAGGACGGAGAAGACCTGGATGTAACAGCAAATGGTCGATTTCAATTGTCCTCGAGGAACGATAATCTCAGTATAGAAATTGGAAAAGTTCACCTCTTAGACTCTGGGCAATACAGATGTGTGGCTAATAACAGCAAGGGTAAATCATCTTCATCTGCAGCCAAACTCACAGTGCAGTGTAAGTAATTCGCTTTAAATGTTTTCAGATATTACACAGTTTAGTTCCAAAAGCCCTGTGTTGTTGTGACATGCAGTAATATGTCGTAATTACTTTGTTGCGTGCATGAGCCGTATGCCGTAGTATGATATGTGAGAAAAACTTTGCTAAAAAAAAATTGATAAAGCTATCAGTAAATATTTGAAGTCATATCGTTTTACTTCATCAGTATCGATATCCTTAAAGACGTCACTGAAAACTCTCTCTACTCTTTCATCAATCAAATCTCTGTTCGACCTGCTCCCTATAACCTGTTCTTGGCCTTTGAGTGGAGAAAAGAACTCTCGAAGTTTAGCAATCATTAACGACAATTCCAATTTCTTGTTCCTTCTTGTTTCTGTTTCTGTTTTTATTTTTCCTATAGATGTACCAGACCCACCAAAGGATGTCAAAGTGATCTCAAGTGGATCACGGGAAATGAATATCTCTTGGACAGTTGGTTTTGACGGAAACAGCGCCATTCAGAACTACACAGTGAAAATCAGCGAAGATATGCAGACTTTCAGAGATGCCATATGTCAAGGAACACTCTTAAAGAATAATTGTGTGGTTTACTCTACAAGAGTTTCTATCAAAAAGCTGTTTCCATGGACAACATATTACCTCAGGGTGTTTGCTAGGAACATGATTGGTTCTAGTCACTACAGCTCTGTAATAAATGTTACTACCGAAGAAGAAGGTGCTCTTTTTCTTTATTTTGAGTTCTTTTTCATTTGATACATTTTATTTCGTACCTGTGTTTGGAGATACCTTCGACAACGGTTTCTCAATAACTGATAAATTGATTAAGTTTTTATTACTTGTATTACATTTACTTTTTGCCATTTGTTTATTTGCATGTTTTGTTTGTTTGTTTGTTTTGTTGGCCTTTTTTTGCATTGGTGTGGTCTCTCTTTTTTAACTCTGTATTAGGCTTTCCCTACGCCTTAAGTTGACTTTGTTAAGTGGAAATATATTGCTATTATACAATTGGGCTTTGTAAGAAAAACTCAATACTACATTTATATGTTTCTTGTAACTCACGGAGAGAAATGTGCTATTGTTTGCTTACAGTACCAAGCTCTGCTCCACCTTTTAATGTGACTGTCCTCAATTCTACAGCTGTTCACGTTTTTTGGCAGGTATTAGACCCACTTTAGAGTTCCCTGCTCCACTTACACCGATATCTAAAGTTCTTTAAACAGCTTTGCTCTAAAACACTCCGAAAAAGATAACACTGAGACATGTACAGCACCACAACTGTGCTAATATCACAATGAATGTATAAACATCTTTTGAACTGGCTGCAGGAGCCAAAGAAATGAATTTATCGCACTGTATTGCAATAGACTTGAGGAAGAGATGTAGCATGTAGTATATTTATCAAGTAATTGTGGTTAAAAGATATCAATATTTATCATGGAATTTCCAATTATTGTTTGGAGAGAGTGAAAACCGAAAGAAAATTTTGGAGCATGGTTAAAATGCCGTGCGAGTGAATAATTACTTAGGGGCTGTCCTGGTGTACCGGTACACGGGGGAATTCCTATTGTTTTCACATCCATACATGGAGTTGTGACGCAGTTCGTTAATGTTTCGTTCCTTTGTGTACCGGTACACGAGGACATAACCATTACTTAACATAATAAAATTAGCAGGTTGATATCTTTGTTGACTGATTTTAATCTATTTGGCTTCCTCGTCACAATTTAGTATTATTATCATTGCAATCCAGATGCTCGCGAAGCAAGATGCTAGAGGTGCTATACTGGGCTATTACATTCTGTACAAGAGAAAAAGCGAGCCAAAGGTATCGTGGAAGAACAAAACTGTTGACAGAGCGGAGACCACTTCTTTAGTGTTGGCGTCTCTAGATGAGTACATATCATACCAGTTTTCCATACAGGCCTTTAACCGCAAGGGTGTCAGCAGTCGGAGTGAAATTGTGGAAAGGAAGATAGATGGAGGTGGTGAGTTGCTTGAGAAGCGATTAACTGAAATGATTAAGTATTAATTGTTAAGTATATTAACTGAAAGAATTAAGTATTGTGATCATAGCTTAAGAATAATCTCGATTTTGGAAGCGAGCACGTGGCAATTAAAGGAACCAGAAAAAGGTAAAAACGAGCGATAAATTTCGCTTTGAGTGACGACTACGAGTTATATAACATAATCAAAAATTATTGCTAACCAACGTTCGCGGGTCTTGATTGCTTTATGAGGATTACAGTCTAACTTGTCCTCTATTCAAAAACGATCTTGATCACACATTATCTTGAACTGAAACGCTAACTATAATTTTCTGTCGAAAAAGAACTAATCACCTAACCACAAAATATTTCGCAGCTTCTTCGGAAGCGGCAACACTCAGCTTCAACGGAAGCAGTTAAAGATAAACCATAACAACTGAATACATGTTCAGGTCCAAGAGCAACTCTCAACGAAGTGTCAAGGTAGTCCAAGATTTCTTTGGTTTTCCTCTACTTCGTTATGTGAGTGGTCCAGAAAAGTCGCGCCCGGTCCTTACGTCACGACCGAGAGCCAAATGTTTTCCCGTTCGGCTCGACCAAACTCAGTCAATGAGCATTATACCCACTTATGGCCACTACGTGTTGAAAATTCGAAAAATTTGTTTCAACCTTAATATGACGAGATAGATGTAATTTTATTCGAATGTTTCGTTTGTCTTCTGTGAATGTGGCTTTGATTTAAATACTTCACTGGGAAAATTTAAACGGGTTTTTTTGCTTCTAATTTCTTACCAAAGGTAAACTTCGTTTGGATTACTGAGAGATGTTCCGAAAACTACGCAAACTCTAATGAAATCAAATTGCTGCTTACGAGATTTTCAAGCCAGAAGGAAAAATCGTGAAAAACGCAGTAAAGCTACTTGGACGCAAAACCTTCACTTTCGCAAGAGCACGTGGTCTCGAGTAAAATATATGCTTGAGTGACTTAATGTAAACTAATATCGCGCGGATAGAACAAAAACTAAATTGGACGCTTTGTAATCTACAATTTGAGATTTGAATTTTTCTCTTTTAAATTCGTCACCTGTTTTGCTGTTTGTTTTGTTTTGTTTTGTTTCGTTTCAGCAAAACAAAATCAAAAAGAGCAAAATTACGTGATCTGCTTTTCGTGTTTTAAAATTTAGTTGGTGAGTGCGTTTACCCCACTTAGTATGAAATAATGTTTTAAAAAATATATATTAAGCGAGAAATTTTCTCTCTGGAAAATTTTTATTATAACACCAAATAGTATGGACTTTACAGCTTTCCTTTGTTGCCAAAATTAGGTTTCCAGATTAGCTTCCTTTGCTACAACTTTAGCGGCCATTTTTTTCCTTCTCAACTTGTCGTGGCAATTAAAACTACTACAGCTTGGAGCGCTTTTGTTTTATTGGTTTTAAGATGGAAAAGGTTGGGTTGCAAAAGTCGCTTTGGCCTTCAACTAAGACCTGTTCTTTTCTCCATCCAGGAGTATGATAAGGTATCCGTGAACTAGTATGTAAACTTCCTGGGGAAAGAATATCATTCAAAGTGGTTTTATCGAAATAATTAAGAGAGATGCACTTATTATTCGCCTTCTATAACGAGGATCCGATCCAATGTGCACTTTAAAAACTGTTGATCAATCTAGTCTGCCTCTTTTAGTGAAGACGGATAAACCTTCAAGTAAATTGTAAACTTTAGTGCTTATTGAAGTGTTGTTTAATTCCTTAGCTATTCCAGACCCACCACAGAACATTACTGTTGACACAAAGGGTTCACGAGTTGTAAATATCTCCTGGACGGCTGGTTATGATGGAAATCGTGCCATTGAAAACTTCATAGTGGAGATCAGTGATCACGATCAGATCTTTAAGGATGTAGTTTGTCAAGGATCACTCGCAAGCAGTGCATGTGTGGTTTCCAGTCTCTCTACAACTGCCTCTCTTACAGGTCTTTTTCCTCGGACAACATATAATATCAGAGTGTTCGCTAGAAACAAAATTGGCAGAAGTAGCAGCAGCCCTATTCTGAATGTTACCACAGATGAAGCAGGTATGCTGCTTACTCTATGCAGTTTTTTTTGCAATGTATGAAGTGAATTATGTATGAAAGCTATACATGTACCACAAGAACATGGCAGGGGATTGGGATATACACCGTAAACTTCTGGTAATCGTTTGATATTAAGTGATTCTCTCCTGAAGTTACCTGATTTAAAGAAATATTACGTAATGTCATGTCTGTTTTGAAAGAACAAATCTTGCTGCTGTTGTTTTGAATCACCGCTAGTCTTTTGGACGTTCTTCCTTTTTACGCCGTGGTTCGATGATCATCAGCTCTGAAGAAGAAAATGATCGATTCGCAACGCCACCTCACCTAAATTTGTACTTAACCGGCTTTAGGAAGCTCTTACGCACTTAAATTTTCAGGAAATTTAACCAAGTCCCAAAGGAAGCACACTTCTTTTCAGGGTTATGTTACACTCTTATCTAAGCACTTTTCATTTAAGACGAGAAACATAAGCTAAGTTGTGATTTTGAGTGGTTCCTATCATCTGGATTGACTGAGTTACGTGTGTTTACTCTGACCTCGTATCAACGTATCTAAATACAAACATTTGGTGACTTTTATTTCTTTGATTATGAACGTTGTATTGGCTTGAGATATCCTGTTTTTTTGACACGCTTGTTATGTTTAACATGTTCCTTACCTGACCATGACAACTGATTTAAACAAACTTCCTGTAAGGCTTTCTAAGCAGGTTCGAATCGTGATCAAGGGCCCTCGGGAAAGAGGTTTTTAGTCCCGGTTTGATTGATAATTTTTAAGACAACAGTATAACAAGATCTGTATCATTATTTCCCATAGCCAGCTTTTAAAAGCAGTTTTTTTCTCATTGACACATAAACAGTACTTTTTGATACTAAGTGTTTCTTGGTGATAGTGTTTTTTTATTGGTTTTGGTCTTGTGCTTCTTACAAAATTTTGATGTGATAGATAGCAAAAGACAATTATGTCCTCCTGACAGTAGGTTACTTTTAAAGTACTTTTTAAGCAGTGGAAGTTTTTTTGCTAAGTGCTCGTTCACAGATTTTGCGACAGTTTACTTTTGGTCATTCAAGCCTCCGTGAAAGTAGGATGACGCGCAAGATTGATGATTGCAAGTAAACTTTATGAACGTTGCTAAAATTCAGATGTTATTTTTAACATCACGATTAAATGCGTGGTAGAATAAGATAGAAAGACGTTTCACTGTATTTCGCGCTTTCTCGAAGTGAGTTGTGTCCAGGAGGGCGCGAATCATGATGAGGAAAGAAAGGATCGGGAGATGAAGATAAAAACCTGGAAACAAATTTCTAAATAGTACCTAACACAATGGCATTTAACGTATAAGCTACTCTTACTATACAGTAAAAAAAATCGAGCAGTGTCCTTACAACTAAATACTTTTAACACAGTTATCAAGTCTAACTTTGAGATTGATTTATCGTGTGTCTGCACGTAAATAACCTGTTTCCTTAAACCAGAGAGAAACAGAGAAAGAAACAAAGAAAAAAACGAAGGTCAATTCGTAGTTTTTCACACATTAGATTTAAAAAAAACGATGTGACTGAGTTTGCATATGTGACAGTGTTAAATAATCACTAGTCCATTACGTCACTACAATCACTATTTTGAAAAATATAACGGATGAATGAGGCAAATTGCTTAAAACATATGATGGGTTTACAGGACGCAGCGCAATTTCATCGTCAGGAAACTGATATTTTTTTGGTTTGGTTTGAGGCTGTAGAATTTTGCTGATAAACAAAATTGTGCTGGTAAAAATAAAGAATATGCAGGGGTGGGAATGATGCAAGTATTTATTATCGTGCCAGCTTCAAGGGTGTGTTCTACACCTGCAACCATGCCCAGTCATACCCGACAGTCTTTTTTGTGGATTCTTTCAAATTAGAAACACTCGTGTCCTAATTTCTACTAGCCATGATATACTGTTAGTTTTCTCTGTTTCGCAGTCTTAATACAATTATACAAAGTGCAAGATAAAACTGTAATGTGACCAAAACAATAAAAAATTCAAATTTCTGCAGCCTGTTTTCCGCTCGCTGTAGCGTAATGGGTTTGATACGTTTTGATCAAGTTAGCCAGTCATTATTTTCTTTCATTAAAATATGATTTCCTATGTACAAGAGATAATTTAATTTTATTCTAACATTCTACGGTGAAGCGTGTTGTACTCACCGATACCTAAATGTGAAACTGTTATTTTATGTTTTCCTCGAATAGCACCAAGTCGCGGAGCGGAAAATGTTTCTTCTAGTGAAGTAAACTATACGACAAACAAAATCACTTGGGCAGGACTTCCTAAAGAAGCGGCAAATGGCGTTATTAAACTTTACGAAGTCCGTCTCGAGTTAAAGGAGAGCTGTTTGAAGGTTGACTTTACCTTTCCCGCTATGAACACAACCAAAACAAGTGTATTACTGACTGGCTTCTGGATGTGTGCAAAGTACGAAGTGCCTGTTAGAGGTTACACTGTGGCAGGGCCTGGACCCTATGGCAAAGCTATAGTCGTTCAAACAAAAAGTATGTTGGAAAAGTGAAACTAATGATCTGTTGCATCGCCTTTATACTTCAGAGTTTTCATCAAGTTATAATTTTTTTGTGTCCCGTACTTTGTCCTTATCCTAAACCTTAAAAAACACGGCAAAGTGTTCAGCATTTTCGTTGCCTGCTTCTCAATGACATAGTGTGGCCAGATAGTAAGCCCTTGAGTTTTCATTTTCAATGTGGGTGTAAGATCTGTCTTTTCTTTTGCTTGCACAGGTTTGAAATTATCCCAAACATGGTCAAAAGAAACACCATCTCCACCTTCCTTCTCTCAGATTCCAAGTGGAGAAGGCATAACAGCAAATATAACATTACCACGCTTTCCAGGGATTGCAAAGTATGAGTCCTTTTATTGAACTTTTTTTTCTTAAGTGAAGAATTTGCGAATCTCTTAAGCTTTATGCGGAATTAATGAACATCCTACTTCACAGGTTCTTTCAAGTCATTGTTATAAGATACAGCGTGGACTATACTGGTGTGGTTAACTCACCTGAGAGTTTTACACCAAAGGATTTGATGACGTATGAAGAGGCCCACAAATCTCCGGTTTCTGCCGCGTATGCCACTTTTCAGTTTAGAGGGCAGGACTTTGATGTGTTCCGAGAATTTGTTGTTGGAGATGGAAGACATTCAAGCAGTAAACCAAGAAATAGGAGAGGCAGTGATGGGGAGGTCTTTCTTAACAAACCACTCCAGCCAAATACCAATTACAGAGTGTTTCTCAGAGCCTTTATAGAGAAGGTACAGTGACGAACGTCCTCTTTTGAAAATGCAAACTCCTAAGACAAAATTCAATCTTGTTTCACTCGCATTACATTCAACCATCGCTTAGCAAGTTACGTACTACTGTTCGGCCAATCAGTCAGTCAATTGGTCCGTCAGATGTATTCTTCATTGAAGCTTTTGATTTCAATTGTACGATGGGGAACAAGTAAAGATACTTTGAGCGCAGAAAAAAATCCTAGAGTTTTATGGGTGATTTCTTTCTTCCTGCTTTTTTGATTGCAGATGGTGTACTTTTCTAGTAACTTCGTAACGATTGAAACCAAAGGTAAAGTTCATGGAATTCGTTTGTCACTGAAACGACAAATTTTCAACCAACTCGAACAAATAAATTACTTATTGCTTATGTCAATGAACAGCTACTTCAACAACCTTTTAGGCAATAAATTACGGAGTAATAGTTTCTTTATTTTCTCTGAAAGATGTCCCGTTAGGCTCTCGCATTCATTGAGACCCTTATCACATATGCCCTTTAGAGGGTAGATCCTGGGTAATTTCTTTTTCTCTCTGAGAAAATGACCCTTACGATTTGTTATTGTTGTAAAAACTGCCGCTAACTTAGTGAAATTCTACCAGGCGAGCCCGCCGTCAAAGACCTACCGGAAAGAACCATTTTTCAAGTTGGCGATGTGGTAGTATGAACATGTGAGGCCACTGGAGATCCTAAGCCTTCTGTTACATGGAGTAAAGATGGAAATACCAGTATACCACGGGCTCAATTCAGAAACGATGACCACATTCTTGTCATTCAAGAGGTCGCACCTAGTGACGGAGGCATTTATGAATGCAGAGCATCAAACATTTTTGGGCAACGCCGAACAGTTACAGCAGTGATCATCGCCGGTAAGTATCATCAACTGTGGTATGACTGGCCACAAAATGAAATTTTTCCTTTAGCGAGCAGAAGCTAAATACGATTGATGTCAGATTTCATGAGTGAAATATTCGAACCCAGGACCCCATGAACTTTCAAATAACGGGTAGAAACTATGCTTATCAGCTGTCAGAAAGTATTAGAGGTTTTTTATTAAACGTTCTCCTGTTAACGCCACCTACTCTTATTCTTTTGCTGTGTGAAAGATGTTGAATCTTACCTTTTTACCTCCTTTTTAAACTCAGTGCCACCCAGCATCATGAAAGACGTTTCCCCTAGATCAGTTCTATGTGCAAAGGAAACTTCGTGTTCTTTGCTATGCCACGCGACTAGTGACATTCCATTTTACTACTCTTGGACAAGGAATGGCCAGGCTCTAGATGGCCATAACATTAAGGTCATGAACAACAGTGTTATTATCTCTCCTCTTGATGATCAAGATTTTGGAGATTATGTGTGTCACGCCACAAACTCATTTGGATCTACAACTTACAAAATAACTTTGTCAGAAAGCAGAGAAGAGAAAAATAGTAAGTGTTGTCAATGTTAAACGCTCTCAACGTTCAAGAAACCTTTGATCCTTTACAGTTCTATCTGATTTCAGTACGTAGTGTTTATGGATACTTTACTCCGTCCACAGGCGGCCCAAGCTCCGGCTGTGAGATGATCATCTTGCGAAATAAGAGTCATGGCGAAATTATAAGAGTTTGTTTGGGAATATTTACGACCGATGTTAGGAATAAAAAATACAATCAAATTCTCAATACAAATACCTCACCTTACTTCCACAGTGCATCGCTTGTTATCTGACCGTTTACAATGTTGAAAAGTTTGTAAAGGAGGCGGGTTACCAAGCTAGTTTTTAATGGTCGTATGTCAGAATGACTGTGTACGCAGACCATTAGAGACGTTTAAACTAGACATTTTTTAAGCAAACTGCGGTTTAGCGTCGGTTTCACGGGGAGGATTGGGGTTTTTAGCGAATTGAAATGAAACTACAGTATATGTGCTTGGATTTTCCAACATAGTAAGTGGTCAGATAACAAGCGATGTACTGTGGAAGTAAGGTTAGGTATTTTCATTGAGAATTTGATTGTATTCTTTTATTCCTAAGAGCGGTCGCAGGAATGGGCTCCTGGCGGTCGTTAATATTCCCATGCAAACTTTTATAATTTCGCCATGACTCTTTTTTCGCAAGATGATCATCTCACAGCTGGAGCTTGGGCCGCCCGTGCTACGTCAAATACGTTTTCCATCAAACGTTTAAGGAGGCTTTATAGGGTTTTTTGACCGCGTGAGATCAGGGTACGTACGTAGCGCGAGCTTTAAAAGTGTCAACTTGCAAGACAAGCATGGCGGCTCAACACGATCGCACGATTGTTATTTGAAAATTTTGAGAGATTTCAGCGAGGCAAATTGAAGAAAATTAAAGTCAAAGCCAAATTTTCACTGGCGAGCGCCTCCCTTCGTAAAGCCTTAGCTTAATGACGAAAATCATTTTGATAATATTTACTACAGCAAACGATAGTCCGAACCTTGCTTATCGCCATTTGATGATGTCTAGTGACCTAGAAAAGCGAAATCGTATAGAGAATAATACATGGTTGCTTGTAGATATGGAATTTCTCTTCTATCGAGTTAAACACTGGAAGAGAAATTCCATATCTACAAACAACCATGTATTATATTGTTTATCATATAAACACAATAGCCCCTTATTGGGAAGAAAAGCCGGCTTCAATAATGAATGAAAATAAACGAATCGACAATCCTCGAATGACAGTCGTAAAGTGCGTTGGCGCTGACTTTTAATTAAGATGGAAAATTGCGTTGAATCATGATTACAAACGCAACAATGGTCGTAATTTTCAATTTACAAGATTCTCATTTATTGACTTTGTCCTTACCGACAGAAGAAGTCTTTCAGGTACTCGGCTAAAATCGGCCAGTGGCAAATCTTCCAGTTGTCGATTTTCATTCTCATCCGAGAGAAATGCTAACACCAAAGCCACTGAATGCGCAACTTTCGGTTTATTTTTTTACTCAAAGTTTGAAACTCATTGTCTGTCAGCGATACGGATTTTTTAGTGTTTTAGCCGCCATAATTCGAGATGCCTCCGGCACACAACTTGCGTTGAGAATCGTGAAGGCTTTGCCGTTTATTCATCAACCTGATCGAGTGGCGCCAAAAGCGAGTAACGTGTCAGCAGCTGATTGGCTATATCAATACACGTGAATAAATACGATATTTTTTCACGTGTGTTGTTACGGTTTCTCTCAGGGCCGGAAATCCTTGTATAACACCGCAGTTTATGTGATTAAAAAAATTTCTAGAAAAACATTACGCTAGCACGCGCGCCCACATTGAGAAAAAACCCTATAGAGCCTCCTCAATTTGATAATAAAATTTTTGTTTTTAATTCTTATCTTGTAGTTTATTTTCAGAGGAACCTACAGTAGGCTAAAATCTAAGCACATGCATTTAAAATCGAAGAAAATAAAAAGATAAGACAAAACGAAACGATTAAGAACCAAAACACTTAATAAATATATAAAAAGCAAGGTCTCATGACAAAACAAAAGAAAAACAAACAAACAACGAAATAAACAAACAAGACTTTTGGTTATGATTTACAATTAATTTAGATTAGAACATTGGGATCAAATAATGTCAACCTCTATGCCACTTATAGCTTTAGAATTGCCTTTTTTACCCAATTTGAATTTCGTTTTGACTTATTTTCAAAAAGGAAGGTTTTCGTTTTTTTTTTTTGTAATGTTTCATAATAAGCAATGATGTGATTTCGAGGGATTTGTTTTTACACAGTGTACTTCTATTTATCTGTATATTTTCTTTACTTTTTGGACAGATGTACAGAGCATCTTTCGGGTTAATGACATCATATGGTCATGGATCGTTTTCCTGTTGCTTGTTTTGATCGGTGTATTGATATGGCGGCTTAGAAGAGCTCAGGCGAGCAACAGACCAGCGACTGCTAAGAAAGCCACCATTAGAGATACTGTCCAGTCTGTCTTTCCACTTGAGCAGCATGCGTCAGAACCAGCGTTATATATGGAGCTACGTCCCAGGCCTTCGGAAGGACAAACACGAGTCCCCCCTGAATACCAGTCCTTACAAGGGAGCCACGTGAACGCTGGGTATTACAACGTGGTTCCCGAGGGAGGGAACAAAAGGGGATCAAATCAAGAAATATATGAGGAAATAGAGCTTTCAGATTTTTAATTTCTAGTTTTTAAGGGAGTTTGTTGTTACACAGTCACATATAGATATAGATAATTTCAACAATGTTGTAGCCTACTCGCCAACTAAACGTAAAATAGGAAGGTATTTAGGTTTTGTTATAAAATATGCCTCTACAGAGGATCATTGCACAATACACTAAATCCGTTTGAATATTGACTGTATGATCTGTCCGTACAATAAATTCTGAATTGTTGTTTTCTCAAATAGAGAAGCCTTGACTGTGCTCTGTTCTGTTGTAAAGCACGAAGGAAGCGGATAGAGTGCTCTTATGCTCTATGCTCTCATAAAGCACGCTACAATAAGTCAGTCAGAATCTCTGTTAGAATAGTTCAAATAATCTGATTGGCTGTACAAGACTAAAGCTGTCAAAAATGTAATATTATCAAAGTTCAAAAACCATCAAAGTTCACATTCTGCAATAGTTTACAAACTTACTAATAATAGTTCGGCGGGTCGAATTTGACGTTTTTTCCTGAAGTTTTTTAGTCTCTAATACAGAATCTGAAAGTGAAATGTTCGATGAAATCCGGCCGAATTGTGGCTCACAAAATCAAGCAAGTCTTTTCAAATATATACTACACGAGTGGTAGCTGTTTTTGATTTTTATTACCGTACGCAAGCTTACAATCTAATT